ACAGTTAAGTTGCCTTGCTTCAGATCTTTGAGTTGCCTCTTGAGATCTAATAAGGCTGCAGTGTTGTCGAGTGTAGAGTAGGTCCGCTTAGCAGCATCCCAGATTTCCTTGGCTGTGCTTGCAAGAAGGTATCCTTCACTGATTTCGAGGGTCATTGAATTGCACAACCAAGACATCACCTGATTATTTTCAGCGAACCAGGTGTCAAATTTGGGGTCATTGTGTGAAGGTTGTTGTGCTTCTCCATTGATATACTTCTCCTTACGCTTCCCACGCAGATACATTAACACACTTTGAGACCATTGGAGATAGTTGCTACCATTAAGTTTGTGAGCTACCCCCATAGCTTGAGGTTCAGTGGCTATTGTCAAGTCTGATTCTGCAGTGGAGTTTTTAGAAGGAGTAGCTTGAGTATTAGAAGATGTACCGGACATGAAGGCCCTTGGAATATTGCGAACAGATCCGAACAATGGTGGAAATTCTGGATCATCCATTTTCTGGGTCTCTGGAAGGCACTGGAGGTCTCTGGCGGCGGCGCGTGGGCTTCACGCGCTGGAACAGTGACAGGGGCGTGGCGGCGCGTGGACTTCACGCGCAGAGCTTGTGACGGCGCGTGAGAGTCACGCGCAGCTCCGTTCGACGTCGGCTTCTGGGGACTGGCCGATCAAGGGACGCCGGTGAGGACTGGAGGGGTGGTGTCGTCCACGCAGCTCTTCTTGCACCAGGTTGAGGACGCCTCACTCTCTCTCTCTCTCTCCCCGCGCTGTCTCTCTCTCTCTGCCTCACAGCGGATGTTTACGGAGCTTTTCTGGGTTCAGACCGAACCCAGAGCTCTGATACCATATTGTTTGAGGAGTTTGTAAATTCACTCATATTTTATTTCATATGATCCCGGTACAATTTAGAGTCCGGATGAAATATGCAATCCGGTTACAATCAATAATAATAATGCAAAGAGATTACAATCAATCAGTAATAATGCAATATCACAAGAAATCAGGAACTTATTCTAGGTAATTTATAGAGTAAATCAAGGGAGAAGATAGGGGAGAGGATCACGGCTTCTAACATGTCCAAAGCATTAGGTATCCAACTATTCACAAGGATGAGATAGAAAGGCAGGTTAATGAGCTTATGAAAAATGGAGTAATTCAAGAGAGTGCTTCTCCATTTGCCTCTCCAATAGTTTTAGTGAAAAAGAAGAATGGTTCATAGAGGATGTGCATAGAGAATTGTAAGAATAAATATCTTACTCCTCTAGTGCAAGAGTTTTTGGATGAGCTCAAGGATGCCAGATGGTTTACAAGGCTGGATTTAAGAGCCGGATACCATCAAATCTGAATGGAGCCTAGTGACACCTACAAAACAGCTTTTAGGACTCATTCTGGCCGTTATGAGTAATTAGTGATATCTTTTGAGCTCACTATTGCCCGTGCTACTTGTCAGGGTGCAATGGACAGCATTTTTAGAGATCTTTTAAGGAAGTTTGTGCTAGTATTTTTTGATGATATTTTAGTTTATAGTGCCAGCATGTATCTTCATATTCAAGATTTGAGGAAGGTGCTCCAAATATTAAGGAAAAACCACTATTTTGTTAAGGAAAATAAATGTAGCTTTGCTGCAACTCAAGTAGAGTATTTAGGTCACATTATCAAAGAGGGACTGGTTTCTACGGATCCCAAAAAGATCAAGGCAGTGCTGGATTGGCCTGAACCTGAGTCAGTTAAGCAATTAAGATCCTTTTTGGGGTGGGCTGGATATTACAGAAGGTTTATCAGGGGTTATGGTGAACTGCTGAGGCTCCTAACTAATTTGTTACGAAAGGACGGCTTCAACTGGACACCTGAAACAGCAGTTACCTTCAAGAAATTAAAGGAAACGCTAGTGGCAGAGCCTATTCTTACTCTTCCAGATTTTTCAAGGGCTTTTGTGGTGGAAACAGACGCGTGTGGCAGAGGGATTGGTGGTACAGGGATTGGTGCTGTTCTAATGCAAGGAGGGCAGCCACTTTCATTCTTCAGCAAAGCTTTAGCCCCTAGACATCAAAATCTTTCGATATATGAGGAGTTGCTAGCGCTGGTGCAAGCAGTGGAGCATTGGCATCAATACTTGGAGGGAAGATCTTTTATTATTAGAACAGACCAGCTGAGCTTAAAATACTTGCTGGATCAAAAGTTGAAGACCTCTTTTCCAATGTATTGGGTGTTTAAGTTGATGGGTTACAACCATGAGATCCACTATAAGAAGGAAAAGAACAATAATGTTGGTGATGCTCTCTCTAGAATGCCTAGGATGGAAATTTTCCAGATCACATTGTCTACTTGTTCTGATCAATTATTACAGGAAACTAACGCAAATTGGGAAGAGGATACTACCTTAAAGGAAGTCATTGCTACCCTCCAACAACGGGGTACAGCTAGAAAATTTTCTTACGAGGAGGAATTGTTAAGGAAGAATGACAGATTGGTAGGGGGAAGCAGTGTGGCTGTTAAGCATAAAATTTTAGAATGGCTTCATTCTACTCCTCAAGGAGGCCATTCAGGAATTCATGCAACTTATCAAGGGTCAAGACACTTTTTTGGTGGAAGAATTTGTTTGAAGGGAAAGAGTACATTAAACATTGTGACGTGTGCTAGGTGTAAGTATGATACAACGACGTATCCAGGGTTATTGCAGCCTCTTCCAATTCCTAGCACGGTTTGGGAAAGTATAACTACGGATTTTATTGAAGAGTTGCCAAGGTCTAATGGCAAAGACACTATTTGGGTAGTGATAGATTGATTGAGCAAGTATGTTCATTTTATTCCATTATCCCACCCATTTTCAGCTTCAATTTCACTCAACACTTTTTAGATCATGTGTACAGATTGCAGGTGCTCCTGTTGAGATTATTAGTGATTGTGATCCTTTGTTTGTTAGTAATTTTAGGCAAGAGTTCTTAAAATTTTGGGTGTGGATCAAAAGCTTCTTCCTACCATCTTAAATAGGTGCTTAGAAACCTATTTACGATGTATGTGTTGGGGCAAACCAAAGCAGTGGAGTAAGTGGTTATCCTTGGCTGAATGGTGGTACAATACCACTTATCATAGATCTACTAAGATAACTCCTTATGAGCTTCTCTATGGTGAAAAACCACCTCTATATGTGCCTTATGTGCCAAGAAGTGCAGCTGTGGAAGCAGTAGACAGATCTTTTACAGCAAAAAAAGAGGCTTTGTCTATTGCTAAACATCATCTATAGGCTGTGAACATCATGAAACAAAAGGCGGATTTGCCTAGAACAGATAGAGAATTTCACATGGGGCAATGGGTCTTTCTAAAGCTTCAGCCTTACAGACAGATTTCAGTACCTTCTAAGAGCTCTCAAAAATTGGCTCCTAGGTATTTTGGCCCTTATGGAGTAATACAAAGGGTTAGTCCTGTGGCGTACAAGTTGGAATTACCTCTAGATTCCAAAATACACTCTACTTTTCACATTTCGCTACTTAAATTGTGTCCTGATCCTAATGTTAAACAGCAACATCCTCCTTTAGATTGGCCGAAACCTCCAGCTACTCGTGAGCCAGAGAGAAAGAACAAAAAGGCTGGTAGAAAGAAAGGGAGAATTGTTACAGAGCACTGGTGCAGTGGAAAAAACTTCCTGAAGAAGAAGCAAGTTGGGTGATGTTATGCCAGTTGCAGCGGCAGTTTCCCTCTTTTCAAATACAAGACCCTTGAGGGCAAGGGTAGTTGAGAGGGAGATAATTGTTATATAATTATAAATATTAAATATTGGGTTAGGTTGTGGTGTTACTAATTCTAAGAGCCACAAGGATTTATTAATAAAGGCTTACTAGGTCTATAAGGCCTTAAGGGGGTAGTTAACCAATATTAGAGTTAGATGTGTTACGTCCTATAGTTCGTATAGGGTCTATATACACTAGTCAGGCAGTCCATTATGATGGTATGTGATTACTGAATAAATCCAGAGCATTTTCCAGTTCTCTCTGTGTCTCTCTCTCTCGTTCTTCTTCCCAAAATATTTCGTCTTCTTCTCTTCCCTCTAACTTCTTAACAACACCTTAATAAGGATCTCACATTTCCTACCTCTATAACAAGCTTTGGAATTCAACCTATAACACTAACCTGAGGGGAGTATTAATTAAGAATATTGTAAATAACTATGAAAATTAGTATTGATTCGAGTATCATAGGGAGAGTATTATGTAGTTATTAGCAGTCATTATTATGGTAGCTTGTGTCATGACTGTAAATAAGAGATTTATATGAGTTAGAACTCACTACGTTTTCCATTCTCATCTCGCTCTCTTCCTCTAGTTAGTTGTTTAGAAGGGATTTGTTTCTCTTACCGAAAGTTGTTGGGGAATAATAAAAATAGGACGTCTATTAGATGATATGAACCCTAATAGCTTATAAATTAGAGGCGCTATAGATGCATGGGTGTCAACGAATTGAATAATAGTGCAAATTTGCTTTTACAATTTATCAAACTAACCTTTATGTCATTGCACAATAGAAGAAAATGTAAATTTTCAATACAGTAGCTTTTTGAAATTCTGTCCCTATTCCCCTACCTCTACTATTTCTATTCTCGTTCTATCTACCATTTAGACTTTCCAGATTCATGACAAAATACTTAGTGGCGTCTTCCCATATAACAAAACTAGCAAACCAGCACTAACACTTAACATATAAGACTATCACAATCTCAACAAAAGCATCATGACTAAAAACACAACCTCCATGAATTGGAATCTCACAAGAGAATGGCAGCCTCTGCATGTACTAACAGAAAAACCATAGAAAGACAATTAACCCCTTACTTTGGGTTCAATGCATACGCGACTGTCCAAAATCATATTAGGGTAACTATTTTCTAATTGTACCCTTCCTTAACTATTTTCAAGAAATGTTTAAAAGTTTGTTAATCTGCAAATTACTATATGAATATCACAAAATGTTGTACGACTTTGCATGATCGATGTAATGTCAGGTAGATACCTTCTGAGCAAGAAACAACAAGTGCACTCCCATCTGCACTGCCATAACTTGCAGTGGTACCAAACAGAGTCAATATTGCCTTTTGATCATGAACTTTGTGATGCTCCCACTTAATTTCTGGGAGAGGAAGCTTAGCTTGTGGCTTATTTTCCGTAGTTTTAGGTTTCTCTTCTTCATACATGTATAATGAACTACCAGAGAGATTATGAGTTGCTACAAAAATTGAGGATGCATCATCAGAAAATGCAATTGCAGTTGGATGACCTCCTGCAGGCAAATTAATTCTCATAAACCTGCATTATGTCCAAGAAATGAAATGTATGAATAATGAACACGATAATGATTGGGTAGTCTTGGTATATATATGCATGAGAGCCTTGAAATAAGCATACTTGAAACTTTTACTTGCCGCATCATCCAACTTAAATACCCTCACAACTCCATCAGCACAAGCTGTTCGCACAGAAAAAATTAGTAAGAAAGAGAAAAGAGTTTAATATTGTGCTCATAGAAGTGAATATTAGAAAAACCAAGCACAAGAGCAGATTAGTTATATTTAATATTAGAAAGAGGAGTCCTCAATCATTCATGATAAATATGCATCAACAGAACAGCTCATTTCAACAACTCACAAGAAAAAGTCAGGATGAGCCTACATTACTCTCCAAAAATTAGCAATATTATATGCGTTAAATAAAGATGCACGTGAAACCATTGTATAGCCATAATTCACTTGATAATCGAAAGAGGCAATGAATACAGATAAATAGAGTTAATATGCCTTGCACAAATAAAGCAGTAAATCTATTGCTAGATTAAAAATGTTCCTATATAAGTACTTGCAAGGTCCTACCATGATATCTTAGGTTAATTTGACATATTTTGATCAGGTATAACTAGAATGAGGTTGGGGGAAGCAGGCAACTATCTTATTCATACATGACTTTTGAAACTAAAGTGCTACCCTCATCTAGTGCAAAGATAAAGACAAAGGAGGGATCAGGGATTCATTTTTGAAGATGAAGAAATCCAAGATACAAAAGACACCAAAACTAAAGGAGAGACAATTTTTTAGCTATCCTAGGAAAAGAGGGTAGCATATGGCTGAATCATTTATATTATGCCAAGTTAAGAATCATTACAATGCAAGGTGAATGTGTAATGATGGACAAACATCCTGCAATACAAAAGGGTATAACAATCAGAATTGATCATTCAAGCCATGTGATTTCATATATACAAATTTTTTAGATGGCATTGAACTTTCTAGCAAGATGGGAACTTTTGAGAATGTGACCAGAAACTTTGATTGGGTTGAGGATGAAGACATTTCTAAGCAAGCTCAACAGTTGTCTAAAGGTAAGAATGACAATAAGGCATAGTTCAATGAAAAAGGTAACCCTAGAGTATTTAGTACTTAATAAAGCCTCAAATTTAGAACTCAACTAACTTGTGGGTTTTTAAATGAGCTCATGTGGATTTGGTTTTTGAGTGACAATACTTGAGGCAATCCAATTTTATCTGTGAGAAAGATGTTGCGAGAACCAGCAGTATAGGAGGCAACAGTGGTAATATTTGAGGATTAATTCAAAAGTGAGTTTGAATGACGAGTGTTTTTGTTTGCAAATTTTTTTCCTAAACAGCAGTTTTGAGAAGTTAATTTTATTTCAACATTGTTTATTAAAATCATTTTTGGACGTACGACTACCAAAAAGGCATCACTTTTATGTCACTTCCTCTAATTTACCCTTATTACTTGATTTAAATATTATTTAGTAAATGAGATTTATACCACAAAAAATTTTAATCTTTTTGAGGTTAGCGCTAAAATTAAAAATAAGTTTGAAAAAACACGATTTTTCGTCACACACACACACAAAAAAAAAAAAGGAGGACAAACACCTGACTTTCAATTGAAGTGCATCTATTGAATAAAGCATATTACAATTAAGAATATACTAAGCTAAATAATTAAATGAAGCAAAATTACAAATATAACATTCACAAAATGGTTAATAAAAAGTACCAAAGAACTAAAGAAATAAAGGAGTAAAAACTACGAGGGACAAAATAGAGGATTCCATCAGCAAACTTTCAACAGCATAACCGCAGAAGCAAGGTAAAGTTTGCTTCTAGTTAAACATGGGTTTAGAGGTAAAAATGGTTTTAAAAAGATAGAAATGTAAAACCAAGATCCCCCCCCCCCTGGCCCCAAAAAAAAAAAAAAAACTGAAGTTTCTGGTTTCAAATGAGATTTTAGACCTCTAAATGCTAAACCAAGCTCATAAACATATCCTTAATGTAACAATATGAATCGTTATCCTGCGGAAGGTAAATTCAGAGTTTTTCACCTGAAAAGCAATTGAAAGATGCGGCCAATATGGTGATGCAGCCATTAATGACCTTAATTAAAAATACAAATGAATTACATCAGGAATGGTTGGACACACTCAATTTTCATTCATGGATTGCCACTCGCTTCTGACCTCTCATTTATGCTCCAAATCTTGGCTAAACTGACGCATGGAATTGATGCAATCTAGCCACAGTGTAAATCTTAGCCAGAATAGTTGCAAGTTTCTAGAAAATAGAAGATTAAAGCAAAACTCACGCTCTTACTGATTCCCTAGCATCCAAGAGGCTAGAGTCTTTCCCTCACAATACTCACTGTCTACCCTTATCTCTACAGTAAACCCCTCCGCACAAATATATACATTACACAGCCCTCTCTCTCCCTCTCACAAACTTCACACACCCCTCACTTAGGCTTGACCCGTTAAATGTGGGCCCATTAGCTATGGGTCCATCAATAGCTAAATCTCCTTCTTGTTGGATTTCACTAAATTCATCTATTGTTTTAATCATATTTTGGTTGAGAATAAATAGACACTATTTGCATATATGATTCATTGATGTATAGAGAGGTGAAACAGTGTTATTTCACTATCATAAGAAAAACCGGGCAAGATAGCCAAGGGCAAAACGTCCCAAGTGAGAGGCACTAGAAAGACACTGCTTGAGTAAAGCAAGACACTACACTTAAAAACTTATTATCTAATCATCCAAAAAATTATAATATTTTCAATTTAAAACTTACTTATTTTTTATTATACAAATTTCCTACCTCATAATATTTTAAAAGTAAAACTTTCCAATTTTTACTATAAATCATTTTCCCATTAAAACTTTCTTATCTTATAAATATCTCATGAAATTATTCTCGTTAGTGTATGACACACCACGATTTAAAATATGTTATCAATAGATTAAATTATAATAATGGTCATCAAAAGTTGTGGTTCCATAGAGCTTGTCCACTTCCAACGAGCAGGCAAGTAAGCCGATTCCATCATTTTTCATGAAACTGGGCTCCACAGAAAGCCAAGTTCCACCACACCAAATGGGCCAATTTTTCACTTCGCTCCCTAATTCCTCTTCGAGGCTTCACTTCCATCCTAACAAGCGGACCATAAAAGTCCAACCTAACAACTCCAAACCAAGTTCTTCAAGGCTCCAACCTCCTTCAGTGTTTACAGAATTGCAACAAAACAATTGATGACCAAATCCTACTACTTCTCAATGCCAACCAAGACCTAAATCCTATTTCTTAATATCCTACTTATTCCAAGCCCCTAAAAGTGCTCCCATCTGACATACAGAGTTCCAAAGGGACTTAATCCAGCACCCCTCCTAGCATGAGAGGCACTATGGGTCTTTGACGAGCACTTTAACTATATTGAAATTGAGCAGGTGTTTTATAAAGAGATTGTTAGTATGGGCTTGGGCCAAATAGGGTCTTAAGCTACGGTTAAGGTTGTTGCTTTAAGTTAGCAGCAGATTTTGTATGATTTTATTTTTAAAATTTAGATTAGATTCTGATTCTCAATCATTAGGTAATCAAGGGAAGATCTGATTAAGATCCTCTAACCTAGGACTCGTCTATATATGTACTCCTCTAATTGATGAATAAAATAACTTTCTGTGTCCTAAACCATATGGTATCAGAGCAAGATGATTCGGTTCGGATTCGGACTGGATGATCTTAGCCAAGGTGTGTCGCTTTCATTGTCGTTCAATGCTTCCTCAACAATGGCAACTCATCAAGTGTCCCAGATCGACGCAACTCCCTCACCAATCACCATTCACAGACTAAACAGTTAGAACTATCTACAATGGGCTACTGGAGTTCGGTTGTATGTCATCAGCAAGGGAAAATTCGGACACCTCACTGGAGCAGTGAAACAACCATCGAGCACCGATCCCAATTACACCAAATGGGAAGCCAAGGATTCCATGATTTAATCCTAGCTAGTGAACTCGATGATACCTGAAATCAGCACGAGTTTCTCACTGTTCCAATCTGCCAAGGATGTGTGGGACACAGCTCGCGACATGTTTACTGCAATTCAGAACCGGGCAGCTATTCTCGAAATAGAGGAACGACTAGACAACCTTAAACAAGGCACTCTAAATGTGACTGAATACTAGACTGATTTAAATGTCCTATGGCAACAATTAGACCTCTATGATTCACATGAATGGTCCTGTATTGTATATGCTAGACTGTACAACAAAATCAAGGAGGAACAGAAGATTTATAAATTCCTTCTTGGGCTCTAAACCCTGTACGATGAAGCGAGGGACCAAATCATGAGCCTTGAGGTCCTTCCATCCTTGAGAGAGGTATTCCTCACAATCAAACATGAGGAAAGCAGGAAGAAACTGTCAACTTCTCTTCCTTCAGTCTCAAAAGAAATAGAAAACAGCACCTTTTCAGCTAAAGGCACTCAAGGACCTGATAGCAAAAATAGGAAGAATGGAGGATGGTGTGAACACTGCTGGAAATCAGGTCACACAAAAGATGTCTACTAGAAACTCCATGGAAAACCAGCAAACATAAAAGGAAAGGGTAGACCAGATGCAAAGGCACTTGCTGCAGATGCTACAGCCGAAGGGGAGTTAAAACTTAGAAGAGAAGAGCTAGAGATACTTCGGAAAATCCTAGATAAGCATACTACTCCTGAACAACAAATATACTCTGGTAACATTGCCTATACAGGTAACTCAGTTTTGGCACTAAAACTAGTGTACATCATAGAACATATGGATAGTTGATTCAGGAGCCACTGGGAATGTAAATTTGATTAGAAATTTGAAATCATATTCTTTTCCAATATTTATTAAAGTAGCAGATGGTAAATATCTTAGAGTTCAAGGGATTGGTGAAGCATGCTTATTTGGGAAAATAGTTCTAGAAAAAGTGTTATATGCACCCGATTTAAAGTGTAGTCTTGTATCTGTTAGCAAGGCCACTCAATCTCATCAATACCATGTTTACTTCACTGCCATTCGATGTTTTTTTCAGGACTTGGGGTCGGGGAAGATGACTGGCACAGCTGAGTTACTAGAGGATCTTTATTGCATGGAGCATCAAGCAATCCCATCAACAAGTTCGATGAGTCTCACTATTGCCCAAGTTTTTTTTGCTCAAACTCCAAATAAGGAGACCTTGCTATGGCACTATAGGCTAGGCCACCCAAACTTTCAATATATGTCCAGATTATTTCCAAATTTGTTGAATAAAAATTTATCTTTGATCCCATGTGAGTTTTGTCAACTATCAAAACATACCAAAAGCACTTATCAGTCACGCCCACATATATATTCTCAACTTTTCTTGTTAATACATAGTGGGGGGCTTGCCCGCGTTCCTAATATATCACATGCAAAATGGCTTGTCACACTGATTGACGATCACACACGTGTTACCTGGGTAGCTCTCTTGAAAGATAAATCTGATTTAACCAGTACATTTATCAACTTTCACAAAATATCCAAACCCATTCAACACCTCAATTAAAGTCCTTCGCAGTGACAATGGAACAGAATACACGAATTCTACACTCCAAACCTACCTAAAACAACACGGAATCCTTCATCAAACTAGTTGTGTCAACACACCCCAACAAAATAGAACAGCTGAAAGGAAAAACAGACACATCCTTGAAATAACCCGAGCCATTATGCTTACACACAATGTCCTGAAAACTTACTAGGGAGAAGCCATTCTTACAGCAGCTCACCTAATAAACTAACTGCCATCCAAAACCGTTGACTATCAAACCCCCATTCAGCTTCTATCTAAAACCTATCCTACAAATCACATGATAACTCACCTACCTGAAAAGGTATTCGGATGTGTAGCCTTCGTCCACAATAATATGGGGGGCAAGCTAGACCCACGAGCCATTAAGTGTATTTTCCTCAGATACTCGCCTACCAAAAAGGGATATAAGTGCTACTCACCCACACTCAGGAACTTCTTCATGACAATGGATGTGACCTTCCAAGAAAATCAAAGTTTCCACCCTAAAACACCCATTCAGGGGGAGAGAGCAAAAGAAGAATGGGAGTTTTTTGACCAATGTGACCAATGTCTTGTCTTGACCAACTTGCACCTGAAAACACCTCAATAGAACACCATGTTACTCCTAGAAACTCTCCCGAACCAGAACCAGACCTAAACCAAGCCTCAAATCTAGACAGCTTTGATGGCCCTGAAGGTGCAGACTCAGCTGAAAATGAGATAGCTGAAACAGAGGAAAACTCAGAGGAAGCTGAAAGGGAAATACAGCAAAGACCCTCTAGTACTGAGCAACACCGAGATTCAACCCCTGCTCTAGGTTCTAGTGATCTTGGATGGCCAATTGCTTTGAGGAAACGGGTAAGAAGTTGTACCTTACATCCTATTAGTAATTTCGTTTCCTATGACCAGTTGTCTACCTCCATGAATAGTTTTGTGACTCAATTGGATATTGAGAAGCTTCCGAATACCTTTCAAGAAGCTATTAAAGATGGGAACTGGAAAACCAGACATGGAATATCACTAAGCTCCCCTCCGGCAAGAAGACAGTAGGATGTAAATGAGTATTCACCAAGAAATATAACTTTGATGGTACTATACACAAGTACAAGGCAAGGCTAGTAGCTAAGGGGTACTCACAGACCTATGGCAATAATTATCAAGAAACCTTTGTCCCAGTGGCAAAACTAAATACCATTCGAATACTCCTCTCACTAGCGGCTAATCTAGATTGGCCACTGCACCAACTCGATGTGAAGAATGTCTTTCTAAACGGGGATTTAGAAGAGGAAGTATATATGGACATCCCACAAGGGTTGAGAGAACATAATACTCTAGGCCTAGCATGTAAGCTTCATAAATCACTCTATGGATTGAAGCAATCTCCAAGGGCTTGGTTTGATCGATTCACCAAGGCAGTGAAGAATGTGGGTTTCACTCAGTATCAAGCAGATCACACCTTATTTATAAAACATTCATGTGAAAAGAAAGCTATTCTCATCGTGTATGTTAATGATATCATCATAACAGGTGACAACATCAAAGAGGTATCACAGTTCAAGAAATCTCTGGAAAAGGAATTTGAAGTAAAGGATTTGGGAGGACTTCGATATTTTCTTGACATGGAAGTTGTAAGGTCTAAAGAAGGAATAGTTGTCTCACAACGAAAGTACACACTTGACCTCTTGAGAGAAACCGGGATGCTAGGAGCAAAACCAGCAGAAACGGCAATGGAATCAACAGTTAAACTGGATAATAAAGAAGGGATAGAAGAAACAGGGGCTGAAAAAGAAAAGAAGTCCAAACCAAAGAAGACACCTGTACTTGTTGATGCTGAAAGGTACAAAAGGCTGGTGGGTAAACTACTCTACCTCTCACATACTTGTCCAGATATAAGCTATGCAGTGGGTGTTGTAAGTAGGGTTACAAATGAACCATTAGAAGAGCATATGAATGCTGTTAATAGATTCTTGCACTATTTGAAAATGACTCCAGGAAGAGGTTTGTACTTTGGGAAAGGAACAGACTGAGAAATATTAATTTACATCGATGCAGACCATGGAGGGTTCCTACTAGATAGAAGATCCACATCTGGATACTGTACTAAAGTATGGGGAAATCTTGTGACATGGAGAAGCAAGAAACAAATGGTAGTATCCAGGAGTAGAGCAGAAGCAAAGTTGAGAGCACTGGCTCATGGTGTTTATGAAGGCTTATGGATAATAAGGGTACTAAAGGAATTGAAACTGGCTCCTAGTACACCTATTCAGTTAAAATGTGACTGTCTGCAATTGGGATGGTTAGGAATCCCATTCATCATGAGAGAACAAAACATGTGGACATTGACAAACATTTCATTAAGGAAAAAGAGGATGCCGGTATCATTAAGATAACTCATGTTCCAACACACTACCAGGTGGGAGACTTGTTCACTAAGGCACTAGCAAGACTTCAATTCGAAGAGTTCAGAAGCAAGCGGGGAATGATAGACATATATTCGCCAACTTGAAGGGAGGGTTAGTATGAGCTTGGGCCGAATAGGGTCTTAAGCTAGGGTTAAGGTGGCTGTTGCTTTAAGTTAGCGGCATATTTTGTACGATTTTATTTTTAAAATTTAGACTAGATTCTGATTCTCAATCATTAGGTAATCAAGAGAAGATTTGATTCAGATCCTCTAACCTAGGACTCGCCTATATATGTACTCCTCTGAATGATGAATAAAATAACTTTCTGCGTCTTAAACCATAGAGATAAAGGCACTCCTATGTTTCTTGCATGACTACTACATGTTGAGTTGTTACCTCATATTTACACTGAACTCCAAACAACTTCATGAATCTATATTAATTTTTATAATCATGACATGAAACATAAAATTAGTACAATAGCATGTAATACAGTAATAATCTTAAGAGTGGAATTAACATCTACCTAACAAAATCAGATTGTTCATGCAGGAGAAGTTAAACTCACTTGTTTCAAAGTTTAATATTTAGGGGAAGACATTTCATGACATTCAAATTCCAAAGTCAATATCATTCAGTCAAAGTTAAAAAGTTTTATAGACTTCTTTTTCGTTCATATTATCAAATCATTTTCCCGCGGTTTAATTCCCTTGAGAATAATAAGGACATCTGTATTTTGATAATTGATCTACCTTACCTGTGAAACAATACTCAATTCACTCTTATACCATAAAGTGAACTGTATACTAGTAGAAATTACTGACCCGTAACAAGGTTTAAATAGCTATAAGAAAATTAAAAGAATAATATTGGTTTATACTAGAAAAGACTTTACCATATCGCTAACATGACTACCATGAGACAGCAAATAGATATGCATCTACCCCAACATTGTATGCCAAAATGGATATACAAGAATCAGGCGAGAGATTTCCAACAGAAGACCACTTTTAGAAGGGGACCTCATTCATGTTTTTTCTTTTCAACAAAAAAATTATGATTAGGTCAAAATAGAGTAGAAGGGAGAATATAACGAATCCACCTACAACATCGACAAGAAAACAAAGGACCATAGCATCCCAAAGAAACGCACCACTATGGAGGAGTTCTATGAACCATCCTGTTTAAGAAGTTGAAAGGACTAAAGCAAGAAATGTCAAGAAACAATGCACATCACTACCAAACCTTTTGTCCTTGTTTAACCTTTGAAAGTAAACTGACAGGAATTGCTCCAGACTAAAAGTTTAACATTAAAAAACAACAACAAAAATTATAGTTGTTCAGGCTTCAGAGACTGTAAGTTATATTGCAAATAACCAGGTACGAAAATCTAGATGCAATACATAGAACGCTATAGTTATATGATGATTTATGTCACTGAATTCCTTGGTTTTATAAGTCAAAACTTGCTCACCGGAAAGGCAACAGACTGCAAAATCTCACACAGCACTCCGTAGAAATAATAGATGAATCTGATCTAACAGTAGATCATATATTTTCCCCACCAAGTTACATCACATAAGATTTGATGTTGTATAAAGCTGGTATTAACAATTAACAATTACCAATTACCAAATAAATTCTAATACCTGTAGCCAAATTTCGTCCATCAGAAGAGAAGCATATCCCTGTCACAGCATCACCATGGCCTTTCAAGGTATTCAAATCCAATGGATGATGTCGCTTGGCATGATCCTAACATTCAATGATCAGAAGGTTAAAAAAGCCAAATCCCAAGATAACACTAAAATACACAATACAGGTGATTCAGCTATTACGCATAGTTTCATGTATCTGGCATTTCAGGGCATCCATTGCTTTTAATTACTTAAATCATAAAAATATGAGATGCATCGATCCCAAAACTATACTTCCAGCAATTCGGTGCCTGGGGGGGGGGGGGTGTGGAGTAATCCGATAGCGTCGACACTAACCAAACCAGCAGCAACTATTTTTCACTCCAATCTATTCCTGTTCACTAAACCTTAAAAGTTCTGCAGATAAATAACTCAATCCTTCCCAAAAAAAAAACAATTACGCAAGTAACGGATACCTCTGTCTAAGAACAGTCCGAGAAACAAAAGCATACGTACTCCTTGGCGATTTATTTGATCCAAGAGGAAACATGAATTAAATTCATAGATGTAAAACAGTATATCATGCTATAATCAAAAACCCAATTTTGATTTCCTTTCAAATCCCTTCGCTCTTTCAGGAAGCAAAGCAGTATGCGCTGACCTTATCAGAAGAGTGGGAATGGGATTTGGCTTGGGACTTCTTGGAGGATTGTTGAACCGGCTTGGAGTTCTTCTTGGGGTCCGACAGAGGCTCCGGATTGGCAATGGTTCGAATATCGGATTTCCGATTGCGAAAATAACTTCTGAAGAAGACAAAGGCGATGAGAGCGCCGAGCAAAACCGAAAGCACCATAATGGTTAGGACCGGATCCATTTCAGATTATCCGAAAGAAGCAGGCGTGCGGGATCTCTTCAAAATTTAGAAGCTGAAAACGATGACTGCATTTTTTTGATAGGAGGAACGAAGACTGTGTAAACTTTGAGGATTTTGGGAAGCGAAGGGAGCAGGGCCCTTTTCTTATAGGCCCCATGGAAGCGCGGCGTGACGATGCGTTTTGCGGATTTCCTGCACATGCAATGCAACGAGTTCCAAAGTTGGGCCGCTGCATAGCTTGGTTATTGTTATTTGGATTAAGGTTTCATTTTATGCCGAAAAACCAAGGAGTTACTTAAGGAGTAAGTTCTTTACGATATGACTAATTGATATTCAAATTTCTTTTAAGATAAAATGAATTTCCGTGCTTATCACAATAATAAGTATTATGATACCCATGGTTAGGGTAAAATCTAAACCCTTCAATATCAATTTTAATGGTCTAGATTTAAAATTTTCAATTAATGATTTTTAAATAAAAGATTTATTTCTCAAAATACTTCCACATTTATTTTGGATTATGTACTTATTAAAAAGAAAATATTTTTAAAAAAATAAAAGTATTAAATATTAATCTCAGCCGTCCATGTTAAATTTAAATAGTTGAGATTTGATGAGCATTATGGTACTTATTGCTATGATGAGCACTAAAAATAGGAGCTATGGGTATTCAGAAGATTTTTGTGGCTTAATGAAAGTATGAAAAACATACTAATACCGCCCTAACATTAAATATGGTTAATTTTGATGGTTAAATGGACCCATATGGTACGTGTGGCACACTTAGCAACTTAAAGGTCCAACTTCTTTTCTCCATGTACTTCACTTTCATCATCTGGCAATCTCCCAATTCATAGGAAATTACCGGATAGAAAATTGTGATCAAAATCTCTTCTTTGTACTGGTTTTTCAGCTTGATGCAGGAGCCAAGTTTTATAGCAGAATTGATGAGGTGTTGTCCTCTCTGTTAACTCCCTTTTGTTTTATTTTTCCCCCCCTAATTATTGCCAATTCACTTATGCATTGTCATAATGGTGATTGTTCAACAACATTAATAAAATCTGGGATTTGCACCAGTAGTGTCTTCCGTTGCCAACTACCTTCCCTTCCATTTCTTCGGTGTTGAAAGCATGTGAATCAAAATGCAGCAAATAGGAAGAAAATCGATTAGGCGAGGACACCAAACGGGGATGAAATTGGAGATGTAGGAACAGATTCAATGACCAACTGCACCACGACAGACAACGATAATTGAGATTGAAGGCAAATTCAGATATGATTGGCAACTTCCTACATGTATAGATCGGCAAAGAGGTCAAAGAAGAGAGACTGATCTTTGGGCACGACGAAATCGTTCTCAGGTGTTTCCCCACCCTCTCCGCTTTTCATCGAAGTTATTTTCCCTCTCTCTCTTCGATCTCACTATTTCTTCTTTCACTCTTCTTCCATAGTTAGATTTTCATTTGGGAAAATGACATTAAGGTCCCACAGAACCAAATATACAGCAAAAAAATCTCCTGAAATGGCATAATTTTTCTGAAGTCTCAAAGGGACTTGTGTGCAATTTTCAGAATCTTCAAATGACTCTCTTGCCCTTGCTATCAGAAACAAAGAGGGTGAGCTGGGAGAGGAGTTTCCCGCACAGTATGGTTGAGAGAAGACGTTGGGAAAGAAGGAAGAAGCCTTTGATGATTAAATATCTTCTCCATTACCATTAATGAACTCTTTCATGTGAATCTCAATAAATCTTTAGATCTGGAACTTTCTTTCCTCTCCTCTCCTACCTTTCTTGACAGATTGTACATTTGTTTGGGAATAGGAAATCAGAAAATCATTTTTGCCTTTGATACTGCAAAGCTTTTGTTTTTGGTGTAGGATTCACAAGTTAATCAATAGAAAAGCTGTGTTTTTTATTGGTGTGTGTTGGTGATTTAAGTTGGGTGTGCAGGATGATCATGGATGCTCTGTTTTTGGGTTGCTTGTGGGTGGTTTTGCTCTATTTTGACGTTAGTTTAGGGGCAAAGGAAGAAAAAAATGAAGGTTAGTGTAGGCAGAAACCCTTAGTACGAAATGGGATATTGTATTGTCAATCAAACCGCGATAGTTGTCAATATGTGCCACGACAGTTGTCAATGTAGCTCCTTGACTTGTCAATGACAGTTGCATGCTTCTTGATACAAGTTTACATTACTGATGGCGAGTACGTCTGGAAAGCATCTATTTTGCTTTGTTCACATAGGGGGAAAGTTTATAAATGATGGAGAAGATGGTATGAGATATGTGGGAGGTAATGTCAGAACAACAAATATAAAGGAGGGCACAAGTTATGAAGAATTGAAGAAAATTATATTATCAATTGCTAGAAAAGAAAGTAACTCATTTCTTTTGAAATTCTCAGTTGTGTATAGCTCAATAGCACTCAGTATAGAAATTAACAACCCGAGTTATCCAAAATAACAAGTAATATAACAGGAGTTAATGACAAGTGATATAACAATTTCATAACAAATAAATGTGTGGATATTAGTAATTGTTATTCAAAATTTTTACAATTGAAGGTGTCATTTATTTATAATATTAAGTAATATTTGCATTAAAATATAATTATTAAGAAGAAGGTGTTACTCAAATTTATGTTCAATTGATAAGGGACAGTGCCTTCATTAACAAGTCACAGCACTCCTTTGGCAAGTCACAGTGCCACCATTGACAAGTTAGTGTGCCACCATTGACAACTGATAATTCGTCGCGGCGTTTGACCATATCCGCCGCGACTCCCCCATCTGTCCCAAGGAGCTGTCATTTTGTGTAAGGTGTTGCAACGCTTGATCATATTCGCTGCGGCACCCAACCCTTTTAAGAAGTTATTCGGCGAACAACAAGTCACAGTGCTACCATTGACAAGTTAGTGTGCTACCATTAACAACTGATAATTCGTCGCAGCGTTTGACCATATCCACCGCGACTCCCCCATCTGTCCCAAGGAGCTGTCATTCTGTGTAAGGCGCCACAGTGCCTGATCATATCCGCCGCAGCGCCTGATCATATCCGTCGCGGCACCTAACCCTTTTAAGAAGTTATTCGGCGAAGAACAAGTCACAGTGCTACCGTTGCCAAGTCAATGTGCCACCATTAATAAGTCATAGTGCCACCATTGACAAGTCACAGTGCTACTATTGACAAGTCACAGTACGACCATTGACAAGTCATAGTGCCACCATTAACACTTCATTAATAATGATTATATATGATAATATAACAAAAATATAATATGACAAAGTAATTGAAAATATCATATGATACTAAAACAGGTCAAGTAACTTGAATTCATATTGTTGACAACTTACATCAGCAAATTAATTGACAAGTCATAGTGCTCCATTGACAAGTTATAACAGGTCTAATGACAATGCAGGGTGCAGGTAATGACAACTGAAATGACAGCAGAATCTAACATGCTAATTCATAGCTAACTTTCATTTACACCTTCATATACATAAAATTACACCTATTTCACAATCTATCCCAAAAAAAAACATAAGGGTTACATATAATTACGAAACTAACTATTGGTGTGTATCCATTTATAAAAAATTCCCTTCACACTCATTTACAAAATATTCCCTTCACATCCGTATAATGTTTTTCGGAGGGCAGTGGTATTTGGAAATATTTGTCCTTCTCCAATGATCAAATCCTTCTATTTTGTGGAATTCATTTGTGGTGTAGGTGTTGATATCATTTCAACAGCACAAAGAATTGATGGTGGCTCTCCAATCTCATCAAATAAGGTAGGTGGAGACATAGACAATCTATTGATACCTCCAAATGATTAATCAATCCTGCAATAAATGACAATTCAGGATGCATGTATTGACAAGTTGGTAGCAAGACAGTAACAACTGAAATTGATAATAACAGTTTTGTTAAACTAAACTTACACATCTTGCTCCTCCATTACATTATCCCTTGTTGCTTCTATGTGGTCCTTATTTCCATTCTCTTCTATATACACATGACCACTTTCTTCATTGAACTTTATCAAATGATCAACCCGATCATCACCTACCGACTCTACAAAAGTTTTTTAATCAAACACAACTGAGAATTTCAAAAGAAATGAGTTGCTTTCTTTTCCAGTAATTGATGATATAATTTCCTTCAATTCTCCATAACTTGTGCCCTCCTTTATATTTGTTGTTCTTACACTACCTCTCACATATCTCATATCATCTTCTCCATCATTTATAAACTTTCCCCCTCTGTGAACAAAACAAAATAGATGCTTTCCAGACGTACTCACCATAAGTAATTTAAACTTGTATCAAGAGTCACGTAACTGTCATTGACAAGTCAAGGAGCTACGTTAACAACTGTCGTGACACACATTGACAACTATCGCGACCTGATTGACAACACAATATCCCATTTCGTGCTAAGGATTTCTACCCACACTAACCTTCATCTTTTTCTTCCTTTGCCCCTCAACTAACGTCAGAACAGAGCAAAACCACCCACAAACAACCCAAAAACAGAGCACTCATGATCATCCTGTACATCCAACTAAAATCACCAACACACATCAACCAAAAACACAGCTTTTCCATTGATTAACTTGTGAATCCTACACCAAAAACAAAAGCTTTGCAGTACCAAAGGCAAAAATGATTTTCTGATTTCCCATTCCTAAATAAATGCACAATCTGTCAAGAAAGATAGGAGAGGAGAGGAAAGAAAGTTTCAGACCTAAAGATTTGTGGAGATTCACATGAAAGAGTTCATTAATGGTAATAGAGAAGATACTTCATCATCAATGGTTTCTTTCTTCTTTCCCAATGTCTTCTCTCAACCATACTGCGCAGGAAACTCCTCACCCAGCTCACCCTCTTTGTTTCTGATAGCAAGGGCAAGAGAGTCATTTGAAGATTCTGAAAATTGCACACAAGTCCCTTTGGGACTTCAGAAAAATTATGCCATTTTAGGGGAACTTTTTACTGTATATTTGGTTCTATGGGACCTTAATGTTATTTTCCCTTTTCATTTTTTCAATCTGATTTTTTTGGATAATGTTATATATTTTGCTAGGTCTTTGTAATTGTTGTCATAGGGATGAAATATGATATAATGAATCTCATGTAAAGTAGAAAC